TATTATAATATTATATACATATATATTAATATATATGTATATATTTACAATTTTTTATAGATTTTTATTAGTAATTTTACAGAATTTAAATAAGGATAAATAAAAAATAATCTCCGTGTGCCAAGTGCCCAAAAAATATATGTCATGTAAGAGTTGATTATAACAATGCGAAACGTGTTTTCACCACAAATCGTCAAAACTCGGAAATAACTCGGGAATAATCGCCAACGATTCGGGATAAACACAAGTGCCGGTAAATGAAAAGGAATGTACGATATCGAATCGCTTTGTACGAAACAGTGCATAAATAGCGGCGTAAAACTTACCTCCATGTTTATTAAGGACATCTCGCTGTTACGTTAGTTGTTGTAATTGCGTAAGTTAGTATTATTAAAATGGACCCACGATGGAAAGCTCGTAATCCTCTCTCTCTCTCTTTTTCTCTCGCACTCTCCCTCTTTCTCTGTCTCCCTCCGCTCCCTTCAGTTACTTAGCTCAATGGTTTGAAGTTTATGAGATTTGTGTCCGCGCTATTCTCACAAACGGGTGTCTAGACTTCGTTTACCGCGGAAAAGTTCAAAATTACCTTTCGCAAAGTATTACCTACAGCGTTCATTCATCATTCACAAGCTGTCGTCTGCACCGTGACTGTTCCAACTAATTTGGTCCGCGCATTTCTTTCTGCGAAGTCAGCGAACGCCGCTAAGAAAAGTCCGCAAGCTCTGTTTGTTTCTGTTCTTGCAAGGTATTTCTAATTTGTCCTCCTAAAGTACTATGACGCGATTCGAGAACAGACCACCGGCCCCTTTTACCGCGTGTCTTGCTTCGTGGCTCGTATACAGATCAATATGTATAGGAAGACGGAAAACGGTATAAAATACTCAGGAATATTATGTCTGTTCACTTAAGCTCTTACTCTTAGCTCTCTTTCATCAATAAAAGCGCCTGTAAATGTCATTGGGAGCCAATCAGAAGACTCATAAGTCACATTTAAAGAGACTTTTATCGTTAAAATAGAGTTCAGTATCGAGAAAAAAGTGAATTATCTTTTCACAGTATAAATTTAACTTTGCCATAAACAACCGTGAAATAGCTCACCAATGCTAACGCGTTTTCGTTGAAGAAAATAAAATTTTTAGTTTCTAGAACCAAATTTGGGTTATAAGAACCAAAAGTTCTGTGCTCTTCGACCAAAACGTGTTAGTTCGTTCATTAAAAATAAACTTGACGTTAATGTAACTAAATTTTTTTCTTTGTAAAGAGGATCCAGGACTCATCATCATGTGGTTGGAGATGTTAGCATTTACTGAAAAATAAATACTTGAGAATTTATTTGTGGGATATAAAGTTTACTCACAGAATTAAACTTTATATCCATTTTCACTCAATAAATCCATTTTCAGGCAATTTTTTTCAGTGTTTTATTGTAATTCTGTATCGACTCACTCGCATAATTTGGAGATTTTTAAAATGTTCATATAATAACAAGAATGAAAAAGTTGCAAAATAACAACGCGCATGTTTTTAATTTTTATATTGTTGCGATCATGAGATGACGACATTTTAACCGGTCAGTCATAAATATTCGCTAAGTAATTAAGCAATGTTGGAGTGATACAGTACAACTGTATGAAATAGCACTGGTGGTGACGAGCGAATGTTTAGTCAAAGGTTAGAACTGCACCCAAGAGAGGATTATTTGCTAAGCTAATGAGTAGTTTCCACGTTGTTCGGCAATCAGGTGAACAAAGGACTTCCGGTCACGTCTATGGTCCGTCGAGGACTGCCACCGTTCCTAGTTTGGACTCCTTCACACAACTTCGCTAACAGCAGCGGCGGTGCTGTGCAAACAGCTGCACTTCCCTCCGTTTTAAGTATGTGCGTCAGGAATTAACGGAGCCTACTAGGAATAACGGCAATAAGCTCGATATACAGAATAATACTTTTTTTACTTCTAAAGAAAAGATTCAATTCTTGCAAAATTGTTTCTTTTTTATTCCACCATAAAGTAAGCGAAAATTTCATTTTTTCGCAAATAAAGCTGCGTTGAAGATCTTGTTTCTTCTTTATTTCCTTTCTCGCAAAAATGCTTGAAACTTTTGCCGTTTAGATCTTGTATTACGATACCCTGAGGAAGAAAATGCGTGATTTTTTATGCAGCTGTGTATAATTTGATTATCATTCGCATAATCACACACGCGCGTCTCGAGAATCATCCGGGGGGAGCAATGTAAAGCGCAGTAATAAATCTTCCCCGCCGTGATATCCTGTTTCCGAACTAATGGTACAACAAAAGCAAGATATTAATGATCTCGCATTCGTAGCAAACATGTGGTATTCATGGATTTCTCCGACGAGGGCGCACGGATATGCATCGACGAGCGAGTGAAAAAAACCCTCAAAGACGGAGATAACGAGGAAGCGAAAATAACGATATGCACGCGCGCATACGGAGAGCGTGCAATTTCCTAATGTGGCCATTTCGCCGACAGCAGGAAACATCTTTGATTATTCGCGTAATAAGCAGACGCAAGTGCTAATGGGTGCGCGATAATCATCCGGACGCGGCTAAGAACGCGGAAGGGCAGCGTGCACCTCAGCATGCGATGCAGCTTTGCTCTTTCGACGGATTTTCCGCTCGCTTCTCCTTTTATTTCGCTACTTGTTTCTCTCTTGTCCCGTGGCGAACGCGTAACGCGCTTTAACAAAGTGCGTTAATGGCGCGCGGCTGATTAAAGGTTTTAATCCTGACGTCCATAACACCGATCGTCTTTCCGCCGTGTGTACGCCCGCCCAGGGAAAAATAAAAAGCGACACTCTCTTTGTGTTTGGCGACTGCCCCGAGCTCGTCGGTCATTAAAGTCGATCTCGATGAAAAGTCAGCGCCATACACGGCCGGCCGGCCAGCCGTACGGGAGAACACGAAAATGCATACTGCACTCGCGGGACCCAAGCCTCCTCGAGCATCGGAAAAGCGTCTCATATTTCTTATTTTACGGAAGGCAGCGCGGTATTCCGCGGAAAATGCGCAGTAAGTATCCTCCCTCTCTTTGCCTCCGAGGAGTGGAGAAGGCTGAAAATATATATCGCTTAAGGGAACACTACGAAATCGAATAAAGATACGTAGACAGCGCCGGTCCACGAGCGACGTGATCGTAACGCTTCGGAACAATCGATAGAGCGTATTCTTGTGAACTAGCAAGCTCCTCTTTATCTAAATTCGCGTCGTAACTGTTATAACTGTCCGTGTTATTGTTATAATTGTTATAATTCTAAGTCCGCAGTTAAGGTACTTATACGGTACTTAACTATACTATATTTTGAATGGCGCATCAAAGGGGGCATAAATTTACTATTTGTAAAACAAAATGACGTTTCTATATATTCATTTTGCTATCTAAAGCTGCACTTAAAAACATCAAAACTTTTGAGGATATATGTAATTAAATATTAATTGTATGTGTGTAATTAAATATTTTTTAATTAAATTTTAATAAAATAAAAATTACATTAGTATTAAATATTAATGTAACTTTTGTAATTAAATATTATCTATGAACTAAATTATATATGAACTTTTATATTATTCAAATAACTAATAAAAATCTATATTATCTATGAGAAGTTTATCTATGAAAATCCCTACACTCAGAGAAGAAGACACGGTGATGGAAACTATACAAGTGACAACTGTACAAGTTTTGGACGTGGAATTAATGTATATAATTTGATAAATTATTTTATATTAGTATTGCAATTAAATTTTTAGTTTGAAACAAAAATGAAATAAATAAATATATATATATTCATAATATTACAAGCAAAAAAGGACTATTATTTTGTTTTTCTAATAAGTATTTTATTTATGCATTAGTTTATCTCTAATAAAAATGTACAATGCCTATGTATTAGTCTTTAATATTAGTGTAGTTCTTCATCAAAATCTCATACACACACACATATATAGTTTAGAAGATATACACATATATAATTTAGAAGATATACACATATATAGTTTAGAAGATATACATACATATAGTTTAGAAGATATTAAAATTAAAAATAGGACGCTAGAAATACGTCAAGAAATACGTGTAAAAAGTGTTAATGTTAATTGCAATATTTTAGTTCTCAGTTCTTTTAATTACACCAACAATGAGATAATATTTCACTGCATATGTAGTGCAAGTTTCGTCAAATTTTTACGAAACTCATTTCATGATGCAACTACCTTAAAATACTAAATAAAGGAAGAAAAATGTTTCTGCTGAACTAATTAAAATTAATAAACTGTCATCTCACACATCTTATCTCAAGATATTTAGCAGATAAAATTAATGAAGCTGCGACGAAGTTGAGATACGGAAGAATCGGTTTTTGCCCTCATTCGAGAAAATTGCGAGACCCCGACGATTATCGATGTGCTTTACGACGTACTTGTCTTCTTTTTCAATTTAGATAAATAAGCGCGAAAGAGATGAGCGGGTAAGTCTCCCAAGGATACTCGACGCATCATCGAGAAAATCGGCCACGTTTACGTAATTTCCGGTCGAGTTAAGAGAATCTTCGAGAGAGTACACTCTGCACGCTTTAACGACACTCCGATAAGCGCGCGCTGATGAAACAATTTCGCAACGAGCACTTTCGGACTCAGGTATAAGACGCGCTTCCACGCCGTCAAACGCCACAATTCTCCGAGCGCGTCGTCCAACATGAGCCGACTTTTTCTCTTCTTGTTGTTAATATACATCGTCTCGACCACTGAGTCATGCATCATTCAGGAGAAGAAGGTACGGAGATTCAACTTAATCTTGCCGATCGGCCGCGTAATACGAAGTATAGTGTCACATCGCCATTACGTGCTAATATCGCTTGGTGCTTCCGTCGTAGGAAAAACCAGATATTCGGGTGATCGAGTTAGACGATTCCAGCAGCGAATCCGTAAGTGCGAATCTCACGTCATTTCAACGCAACAATATCGACGCCACCCTAGTAGAAACTGAATCTCGTGCATGGAGAAAACTGTTACGATTGCTACCCATATTTTCTATGTTTAGAAGAAAAATATAAATTCAAGTTAAGTGGATATCGCGTTAATTATTGTATAATTATTGTTGTTATATGCTCATCTACATAGCTACAGCTCTTACGATATGTAATGTTTACTTAGGTCTGTATTTTAAGTCGTTATTTCTAACTTGTCTTCAGTGAAATACTCGGATTGAAATTAGATCTGAGTTTTTCAGTTAAAACACGCGATATACGTAACATTATATTTACAAGTGCGATTCCATTGAAAAACTCACGACTGACTCTAAACTTAAATATGAGTATTCCACTCGAAGTAAGTTTCAAGAAAAACAACTATTAATGCAGACCTTAATATAATATTCTGCTTCAATATATAGTTGCCTCAACCGAAAGAATATGGGCTTGAGCATAGACTTTTGCATAATGCATAATACATAACACATAAGGGAATCAGTCAATCAAGAATCCTTCATTTTCATTCTGAAGAAGAAAATAAAAAATTCTGATTGGTTGATTTCTTTATGCGTTATGCATTGTGCGTTATGCAAAAGTCTGTGCTCCCACCCTATCACTATGTCTCTGTTTTAGTCTGCCGAATGTATACTATGATTGAGAAAGCCGTAGGGTTTGTTTGCATAATACATCACCGAAAATTCCTTTCAAACATATGGATTGGCAGTAAAGAAAGTCAGTGTATCACTTCCAAAATACTATAATATAAATCTTTTGTATACATGAGCGAAAAATAATATAAATATGTTGTTGCAGCAACCATATTTAGCAAGGTGATATCCTTAGTTGTTTCCGTGTAGATGTTTGCCCGAGTCGAAATTTTAGTTCTACTTTCAACCTAAATTTTCTAACATCTGTATATATTTTGAGGGATCAATGTATGTTTAATATATATGGAAATCAAAGTCCTACTTAGCATCTCAAAATGGCGAAAAACGTACAAAATGCTACTTGTAGGTAAAGGAGCTCTCAGTAGAGTTAATAGAATCAAAGATATTGATATCAGTTTCAAGTGAGATCAAAGTTAGATCCCTCAAATGAAATATTGAGATAATGGAATATAAATTCTGACCCGGGTAGCGACGAGGTAGTAAATTTGTATCTAACACTCCCTTTTCCTAGTGGCAAGATAAATAAATTACCTAATTGACTAGACAAGAAAAATTATAGTTATGAGACGGAAATCATAACTAAAAATCATAACTGGTTGCCAGCTAGTAATGTAATACTCACTTGTTCAGATTTTTATGAAATAACGTAACTTTTCTCAAATAGGACTTGCTTCTTAATTTTCAAGTGCTAGTGTCGGTGTCTAGTAGTTAGATGACATATTTTAGAATAAATAGCGTCATCTATTGTATCATATTTGATATATAATGACTAAAAGCTGACTAGATCACAAAACAAATTCTACATTTTAACGAGTGATCAGATAGTGTAACGAGCTAGAGAATTTAATCGAACTTGTACTAGCTGGCTACTAGTTCTCAACTCAAGTCGGCTACGTCAGATCGCTCACGTTTCTACTAGGGTATCTTTTTCTGCCTCTCTCTCTCTCTCTCTCTCGCTGGAATTTTTAACCGTGATTTTCTCGACGCTGTATTTTCTCTCGGATATAAATCGTTCCTTCAAGCAACCTCTGCATATCCGCGTATATATTATAATAATATCAGCGTGACGTTTCTTTTTTGAAAAGAGCGAGCAGGAAATCGTGGCCCTCCACCTGCCCGACAGACGAAGAAGGGAAATCGATAGCCGGGCGAGAAACAGTTCCTGCAAAACGGATGAGGATTGCGGTCCGGGGGCAATCTGTCTCGCGTATCTGACCTGCGGTATGTAACACTGATTTTCTTCGGGTCAGAGATTACGGTCGCGGGCGTGCAATTTAACGGGCTATCGCCATTCAAACGTTTTATTTCTCGCACAGTGAAGGGCAAGTGGCGAACCATAGATTTCCCCGAGACGACGCGCGCTGCCAATTAAAAAAAAAAAAAAATCGGACCGATCGGACAGCAGGAGAGACACAACGAGACAAACGTGCCTTCCCTCTGCACTCTGCATGACGACGACAAAAGTGTGCTGATATTATTTTCGCAGGGTAACGCCACTCCCGCGCGAACAATATGAACGCGTGCGCGAATCAATCGGATGATTGATTTCCCATCATCGGCCATATCCAGCGGATATCTGTTTGCTTATCTGTATTTCGTACACCGATGAAATTTCCACCGCGCATCCATCCCATTGTCGGTGGGA